CACTGTCAGGTCTCTGGAAAAACACTGTCAGGTCTCTGGAAAAATGCTTTCAGGTCTCTGGAAAAATGCTTTCAGGTCTCTGGAAAAATGCTTTCAGGTCTCTGGAAAAATGCTTTCAGGTCTCTGGAAAAGCACCTTCAATTTTCAGGAAAAAAACGCTGCAGGTCTCTGGGAAAACACCTTTTATAAGTTTTAAAATCAAGACTGTAGTAAAAGCTGTTAACTCTGCCTCTATTGCTGAAATACAGGCTATTTCAGTGTTGATAATAGCATTAACCAGGTGCAAGTTAATGCACCATGAAGTCAGTCAGACAGCATTTTTCCTAAGGCCTGACTAATGTCCTAAAACGAACACTATAGTGGGATATGTCTGTATGTTGAGGATGTTTAGGTTTTGTAAAATAAATTCAACTGTTGGGAAAAAATTATTACAAGTGTGAGATTATTTCTTAAACCAAAACTATCAATTAAACTAAAAAATAAATAAATAAATAAATTTAAAAAATATATAAAAATAAAAAAAGCTCAATGCACATTTTGTACCTCTGGGTTTGAGCTCATCTTCCTCTGATTCTGAGCCTTCTTCTTCTGCCACAGCAATAGGTACAGCTTTCAGTGGATGACCTGCTGCCAGGGGAACTGCATCCTGGGAAAATCATCAACAAGTAATATAAATTCAAGTTTTTTTTAAATAGATAACGCAAGCAGAGACAGAAAGTAATCAGGCAGTAACCTGCTCTGAGGCTTTGGAGTGGTGGGGAGCAGCTGGCACCGGAACCAGAGCTGGCTTCTGATCCAAAAACACCTCCCGCTCACACACATAACACCAGATCCTGAAGGTTGTCAGGTTCACGGTCAGGTTGTGTTTCTTCACCTGCAGGAAGCGCACAAACAACAACTTGCTTTAAATCAATTGCATCGTTCTGTGGGGAAGTAATATGAAGGTAAATCTTTGCACATGCACTTAGTGTGAGAAGATTTCACCTGTGCATGCAGCGTGCTGTGATCAGAAAAGGACTCCCCACAACCAACATACAGACATTCGCTCTAAATAACAAACACAGAATAAGACAAATAAATCAGAATTTTCATATAAAAACACACTGCCATACTTGTTGCTTGTCAGAGCTACATTTAAACATATAAATAAGCCTCACATTAGCATTAATTATTAAACAGAAACCTGTCTCCTGATCTCAGCTGATGTAGGTAAGTGCAGCGCCAGCTGCTGCTGCAGTAGTCAGTCTTTATCAAGAAACTCACAGCTTAATCCAGACAGCATTAGGAAAACAAAGAGGATTTCAAAAGATTTAAAACAGCATTTAAGTTTCAAATCCTACCTGAAGACAGGCCCACAGGTTTGGGCCCCCAGCTCCACATGACTGACAAGTCCCCTAAAAAAGAATCAAATATACTCATTTACATTTTTGACTGCCACACAAACAACAGATATAATATAATACCCACAGTCAGTCACTTGAGACATCAGGAACCATTTATTTGCTATAAATTAATAAAAAACCCACCTGGGATTTCTGGAGCAGGTCCTCTTTGGTCACCTCACCTACAGAGTCCAGGTGAGGACAGACGTCCTGATCTGCTGCCATAGCGTCTCACTTTAAAGGAGACGTCTGTTAACTGCCTGTATTAGAAAACACCGCGTCCTAATTCATGAGAGAGGCTGCTGGAGCTACTAGCTTCTTCATCCCAACTTTAACCTCAGACTGCAAAGCACAACACCTTCTGCCTCTTCACAAGTAAAGCCCAAATGTGTGTACAGCAGAGTGAATGACAGGCCCGGTGTTTACCTACGAAAGCAGCGAAAAACCTCCGGTCTGCAGCGATGACAGCTGTTAAAAACCACTCATATTCGCCACAGAAGAAGAAGAGGAGGAGCAGCTGCTTACACCATCGCGGCTATAGCTCATGTTAGCGTCAATAAGCAAGAAAAGCGAGGGTTTACTCAGAAAATCCGAGCGACGTAAAACACTCGAACCACCAGGCGGCGAACACAGCGTGACCCGGAAGTGACTCGCATGAAAACGCTCGTGAGTAAAATGGAAGTTTACACATCAATAACTATAAATTATTTCTTTGGCTTATTAGAAAACATATAAACGATATTTTGTCGGACAATTTATAAC